CATCGTGGCCCCTAATTGTCTATGGCAAAACTGTGAAGACACCCCATTTCTGACACAGGTGCTCCCAGACCTGGAAGGACTGGACCTGGTTTTCTCCAGGAATTTAAGACCTCTGCAGCCAGAGTCTCTTCTTCTTTAAAAGAATAGACCATTTGGGGGGCAGTTCTGGGTCACAGCATTTGTGGAAGGTGCAGAGATGCCCCGCTGCCCGCCGGACACACCCGCGCACGGCCTCCCCCCGCTCTCAGCACCCCCCACCGGAGCGCGGCATCTGCTACCGCCGGAGGACCTCCGTCCAGACCTGTGGGTGACATTCGGGTCATTCTTGGTGTTGCCTCTTCCACCGGTCTGCAGGGACGTGTGACGTATCTGTCACTCCAGCATCACCCCGCGTAGCCTCACTGCCCTGACCGCACCTGTTCATCCCGCCCCACCCCCCGCAGCCGACCACCATCTCCGTCTCCGTGTCTCACGTTTCCAGACGCCACACGGTTGGAGTCGCACAGCGCGCACCTTCCAGACCGGCGGCTGTCACCCGGCGGGGCGCGCCCGCGTGTCCTCCCTGCCCCTGCTGGCGGGCTCCGTGCCTCCCGGTGCCCGGACACTCGGCTGTGTGGACGGAAGGCGGTGCTTCTGTGCGCTCACCCCCGAGGTGCCCACCCCCGGGGCGCTCACAGCCCCCCAGGCGCTCACCCCCCCGCCCCAGGCGCTCACCACCCCCCAGGCGCCCACCCTCCGGGGCACACCGGCTGCTTCCGCGGTTCTGGCCGCCGTGATAACGCAGGCTCCGCCCCGGTGTCGCCCGTCGCCTGCAGAGGAAGCCAGAAGCGCACGGCCTGGGCCGGGGCTGCCGTGGGTGGCCGGCTGCGGGGCTACAGGGGAGCCGCTGAGGGTGCCCCCCGGGAGCGGTCCCTGCCGCGCGTGCGGTGGTCCTGGGGGAGCGGCGTCGGGAGTGTCTGCGGCACTTTCGTGGTCGCGGCGGGGGCAGGCGGTGCCCCTGGCGGCTGAGTGGGTAGAAGCCAGGGACGCGGCTGAGCATCTTCGCGGGCCCGGGACGCTGCCTCCCGCCCAGCGAAGCCGACGGGGCTGAGGATGACGAGGTCTGCGCAGGGCGGTGCGGGCGGTGACGGGGGGCTCTAGCGCCCTCTAGCGGTGCGGGCGGC